CCTTATGGCGTTAAAGGCGACGCAATGAAAAATTTGGGTGCACCTAAATTTTGTGCTGGTGCACCTAAAAAAAAGGTGGTAAAAAAGTTAGGCGCACCAATGCAACCAATGCAAAAAGTTAGTCTGGAGCCCTGTAATGCCCTTTTTTTTTTAACCCCCACTCATGGATGCAGCATTCAAAAGAGTAAAGGATCTTTTTAAGGACGGTGTATTCATGTCTTTTGAGCAGTTAGTGAGCGAGTACAGTATCCCACGCTTGCACTTTTTCAGGTATTTACAGGTGCAAGCTTTTGTTAGGAAGCATTTCTCTTCCTTTATGTTACCCCCACCCAATAGTTGGATGGATGAGTGGCTGGATGGGGATCCAAATCTAAGTGGTGTTTTTCTTAAAAACAAAACACAAACAAAACACTGGCTCTATGTGGGGCCTTTCATTTTTTCACAGGTTTCGTGGTCACTGTCACTTCTCCTGCACGCTTGGAAGGGAGTGGTATTCAGTTGGTTGCAATCTGTAGCTTCACCAGTAGGTGCCACTAAATCCTTCACACTGGTCCTTTATTTTTTTTATTAATATTAATGCATTTTTTCATTATGAAATGTGTTAGTCTCTTTGTCCAATTGACAGTCAGGCACAGTTTCAACAGAGCCACAGTCTGATATCAGCACAGGCCAAGGTAACCTACTAATGTAATACTGATTTGAATGACAAATCTAGTCAGACAGCCATCATAAATGCATCTCCTCCGAGTAGTAACGGTAACTCTGTCTATCACAAGACCAATGGATGGCCAGCAATTTCCTGCATCAGGTCCCAGGGTCAGACCCTTGGCCGGTGATTATGTCGCACTCAGTCAAAATAAATGATCCTCCTCTAGCACAGGAGGCCACTGTACACTGCTGATAGTATAAGCTTTATCACAACCAAATATTATTTACCATCAGTTTACTTTTCCGCTCATGGTAAGCTTGTGATCCCACCATGAGCATACTGCACTACTCAAGTATCGACAGCTTAATCCACACACATCAAGTTTACTAGTGAACAGTGAGAGGATGGTGAAGAACAGTGTATAGGTAATCCAATCACACAGACCAATATCTTAACTGGCTCGAACCACCACTTACAACCTAAAAGGAGCCTTCTACACAGACAGCTTCTGTCAGTGACGAGGATAGACAGAGGGAGGTGCAGCAGGTAGGAGCTAATGGGTGGATGATGAGAATCCTTTCCCTACTAAAGACCAAGACAGATTCAACAGGGACCTCCAGGTGCATCCCAGTGGGACTCTCATGAAGTCAAACTGAAATGAAATTGAATGTTTCTGTCTGCTACAGCATACATATCTCCTCTGTAAATCATTTGTCCTGTGTTCTCCATTCAGAATCCCACAAGGGAGAACTGTATATGTAATATATTTGGTTTCATGATGGTGGACTCTAGGTTTGATGGAATACTGTTCTGGTATCCGTCTACATAGACAGATACGTAATTTCCATACAGCCCAGAAAATCTCTTGTACAGCAGTAACATCAGCGTTCTATCAGGCAGAGCAGACGGTCAGACGGAGCCAGACAGCAGAGCGCCACACACTCTGAACATCAACACACACTAGCTTTCCTGCTTAAGTCTTCATTTTCTATTAATTACAGCCATGAACACAGCTTGTCCTGCAACATACAAACATTCACCGGGGAAAAGTGCACTGCTAACATCAGTTTGCAGGCTATATAGCTAATTAGCTTTTCAGCTACAGCACATTAAACAAATTAAATGTAAACGTGCAAATGTAATTTGGCTCCAGTTAGATGCTGATGCGGTCCTTACTCTTCAGTACAATGCTTTTCTGCTTTATCTTTAAAGGCCTGTTGCTTCTGTGACAGTCTTAGAAACGTACATGCAATAGTGCTGGGTTCAAAAACTCAGAAGCTGCCCCCCAATCCCAGATTCATTATCAATGACAGGGGGAGCTGCTAATAAAAAAGGATGCTGAATTTTAGTGAAATAAAGGTCAGCATGATAGCATCCGTTAGTGGCTGATTTAATGGTCTGCCTCCCATGAACGAGTTGGAGCTGCTGCTCAGCGACGTTGTTCAGAGGCACAGTACACATACTGCACGAGAGGAAAAACAGCTGTACAGCCAGAATATTTTCACATCTATGTCTGTGAATTAAGGGTTTATTTCGACCAAACCACAGTGGAAAGACTAACCAAGACAGTTTTGGTGAGTTTTATTTCATTTCAGTCGAGTTTGAATAACAGGAGCTTTACAATGACTTTACAACGCAATTAGGCTGGTATTAGTTCAATGGAAGATAGAAACTTGAATTCAGAATGTGTATGGTTGCATTTGTCTGTTTAATAAGTGAAATAAGAGACAGAATATTTCATTTTTATTTGGGAGTTGACTTTGTTTATTTAAGCTCAGAGACTTTGGGGCTGTGAACTCACTGCAAATTCACTACATATTTCCTGCTGAGGCTTCCACATGCAACCACCCGTTATCACCTGCCTGGCGTTCCATATTTCCTGACCAAAGTGTTTATCAACAGAACACAAAGTGTATGAAGCTAGGTCACCTGGTGATGTCCCAGACACAGGAGCTGACGATAATGACATCCGGTTCAAGTCCTTTCCTGAAGTCTTCCAGGATGCTCTCCATGTACGGTGAGTAGATCCGCGTCAGGAAGTAGAAACGCAGCAGGTGGTGGTTGGAGCAGTACTGTCGGACCTCTCTGTACTCGGTGCCGTTAGTCATGAGACCTAATCGGCCCCCCTCCACCAGGACATCCTGCTCAAAGGAAAACTCCCCCTGGAGCACAGACAGGGAGAGAGTTAAATGCCAGTGCACAGGGAACTACAGCTTCTTCTTCATCAACACAAGTGCATTTCATAGTTCATGTAACAAAAGGTCAGTGGCTTTTGTTGCAGTTGAATAACTTTTAAAGGCCTGTGGCTGTACTCCTAAACAATCTCACTTCACCACTAGAAAGGCATTATAAGTTCCTAGCAAAGAGATTCCTTTTAAGACCTATGCACAACGCTGCTGAAAGCAACTTTTACTAAAAAAAATGGAGGAAACTCCTGGGCTAAGAGAAGGGGCAAAGTAGACCCCATTGTTAAGAAGAAGAAGATATACTTTATTAATCCCGGAGGGGAAATTGTTGAAATTGTTGAACTGCAGGATTACGTCATGTGATTAGTTAACAGATGATTGGTCGGTCAGTCAAAAATGAGAATAGATAGATTTAATTAACACATAAGCTGTCACAGATTTTAGACATGAAACAGTACAATACTGATTTAATATATGATTAAAAAATATACTGATATAGGGGCACCCGGTTAGCTCAGTGG